AACAGAGATTTGATCGATCAAGTAGGGGATATTATGCTCAATGTGAGACACAACAGCGTCGTAAATGAGCGAACCATCAGGGTCATCGATCGAGCCGTGTCCGCAAATCAACAACTTTGGAGGCTTCTTGCCAGGAAACGCGGCGGTCAGACGATTGTAGAATTTTTCGTAGGATTCCACTACATCAAAGATGCCCTTGGAAGGGTCAAAGCGGGCGATTTGGACGATGTACTCGTCTATCATTGTTAATGGAAAAGCTTTCAACTTGTCACAACGGGGACGAAGGAGAAAGACGCCGTCTTACCTTCAGGGACATTTATCACAGGCATGCCAGAGTTCCTGCAGGCGGCATTGAAGACGCGGCCATAATACGCCATATCCCAGTCCCGCATGTTTTTATTCAGGCCATCTAGCCTACAACAAAGTGTCAGTCAGTGATTTACTCCTACTGACAAAAGGCCTAAGGACTTACCAATCTGTGGTCGCTCCCATATAGCCCACAATCTCTTTAGGCACGTTCTTCGGTACGAATGAGCTCACCGGGTGAGAGATGAACAGGTCGGCCTGCTTGATCAGTTCCCACATCTTGCCCCATGCTTCTGCCTGAGGCGTGTCCGGCTTGGCAATCAGGTCGCTTCGGATCTGAATGTGGCTCCGGAAGATGACGGGTCTATCCGGCGCCATTTCCTTCGCGATGGGAATCAATGCTGGCATCTGAGGGTCGTCGATGATAATTACATCGGCGCCTCCTTCTGATGGGGGCCGTAACGGTCCTCCGGGGATCAACCAGTACCTCTTTGCGTTCTCCTGGATCCAGTCCGTGACCTTTGCCCAATCCTCCTCTGTGCACCGCTCTCCAGGGTTTGAGACACCTTGCAGAATGTTGTGGTTCGTCTTGGTAATACGGAAGACACCTGGTCGTGGTTTTGGTACGTACCTTGGGACACAATGTCAGCTGTTTCTGTGGTCGGGACGGTGGCTCCAAAATTGGCGATCACTCACCATTTAATATCAGTTCCCAATGAATAGGAAAACCTCACAAGAGCATGCCTCATGAGGGCTACACCTCCACCTTGAGGGGTGGCACTGAAGAAGGCTATCTTGACGTTCCTTTGCTTAAGGTCGGAAGCCCAATGCTCGACAGCACTCCACGTGCGAGGTCTGACCGTCTTCTTGAAATCGTCCAGATCGGTCAAGCGTACGTGAAAGGCCGTATCGACCTCGACCAAACCCAGAAACCCAACTTGCAGCAATGGGATGTTTTCGGGGCCAAAAAGTCTGGTGCGTGAGGTAAGTATGCTGACATGCAACAGCAGACAGGCAGTGTTTCCCTCACCTGACACATTTCCGTCCCATAGACTCAGCTTGTTCATCGAGCGATCTGGTCTCCCAGCCTGGATAGGTTGGAAGAAGCTGCTTGGACGGCTCATTCTCTTTCCGCTTCTCCTCTGGAAGCACCAGTGGTATGACGTCCAGCTCAGCCCATAGGCGCGAACAGAGACCTGGGCATGCCTCTTTGAGATGCTGTGGCATTGCCAATCCGATGAACTTTTCGAGGTGTTTCTCACTGAATTTCTGTAATTGGTGCACGACGAAGTCGCCGATCGCTTGAGAAAGAGGCTTATTGTCTTTTCGAGGGACTTTTTCTTGGATGAATTCAAGGAGGTACGTTGCGTCACGAATGGCCAGGGCGATGGTAGCAGGTCCGTCGTCGGTAAATAATACCGAGAGGCCGGCATAGACGGTCTAATCGAAGTTAGAACTGCAGAATTGACACCTGTCTGAATTAAACCATTCGTACCCCAGAAGGAGGCGCAGCCCATGAATTCTTCTTAAAATCGACAGAAAGACGACGCTGCTGGTGCACAGACGACCGCCGTCGGAAGGAGAGCGTCTCGTCGCTAGCCATGATGTTTGCGCAGATAACGGGTAACCAGTTATCAAGAAAGAACAGAGGGAATATAAAATGGTATTGACTAGTTGAAGTAAGCGAAATCCTCAGATATGGACTGATGAAGTGGCGTGTACGACCAATACTACGGACCAGTTGGTGACCTCACCGGTTCCGATCATGACGTACCTTATGGTGAGGAACAACCGGGTGCTGTTTTTAGCCGCAGCCTCGATGTGAGCTCGGGACATCCACGATAATCCATCTTTCAGGTCAGAGCAATCATTGGAGAGAGAGGCTTGATCCACGCGGTATATCCATTATCTTGATAGATCCCCGTCACCTGAAGCTGGGTTGGTTTCGGGACCATGGCGCATCACTTAGCTCCGCAAGAGGCAAAAGATCAGTCCATTAATCAGGGCGGAGAATCAGACAACTCCTGTTCACTCATTGTCTGATCCATGGATGATTCCGACGGAAGAGGTCCCTGACAGTGGCAGATGAACCGTTCGACAATAATGGAAGAACCCTCTCAACTCTTATCTCGATAATGCTCTGGGGTAAGTGGTAAACTACTAAGTAAGCAGCTGAAACGCTTGAATTGCTTGGCTGAATCCGACTCGTGGGGAGATCTGCTTAGTCACGGCCAACCCCTTTTATGGCCCCTCTCATCTCTATGGAAAGCCGGATACAGGGTCAACAAGGGAAATTGGGTCCAGGAGAAAGGAGATTATTTACTACTGTTAGGAGTTGACTAGCAGCTTGTCCAACTAGCTAGCTATCTAGACTAGCCCTCAAGCAAAGCAGCGCCGGTCTTTCTGTGGATCGTCGGGTTTTTTGTCTCCAAAAAGTCAATTTAACTCTTACAATCTTATTCTCACTCTCCTCGTTTCCTGCTGCCACGTTTGAAACAGCACAGGTGACCTGCTTTTTCCTACACCCCTCTCTGTACTCACAAGCAAGGTGCGCAATTCTCCATTCCCCAATACCCATGTGCCTGTCTTGTTTCCTTGCGTCTCTTCTGCAGATCTCATATTAACTTTTTACATTGTTTTGACAGGAGAACCCCAATTGACACAAAGACGCTCAGGGTCTCGACGGTTCCTACCTCTTTCCCCTCTCCTCTCCCCTCAATTGAAAGTGCAGGCTGTCGCGTCGGATTGCGACCGAGTCAAGTCCGGCATTGAGACGTACAGTCAAGGATCCTTGTTATCAACTGCTGTGTTGGTCGCGACTCCGACAGTCGCCTTACACTAGTCAATATGGGTGGACAAGTTTCGAAGATGCTGGGGAAGATATTCGGCACGAAGGAAATGCGGATTCTGATGCTGGGTTTGGATGCTGCTGGAAAGACCAGTGAGTTTTGGTAACGAAGAAGACTAAATGGAATTGCTTGGAAACTAACCGGCATCTCTACCGCAGCTATCCTCTACAAGCTAAAGCTCACGAATCAGGATGTCACCACCATTCCTACTGTCGGTTTCAACGTTGAGAGTGTCACCTACAAGAATGTCAAGTTCAACGTCTGGGATGTTGGTGGACAGGACAAGATCCGGCCTTTGTGGAGACACTACTACTCTGGTATGAAATGTCACGTTTGGTGCAAGATCTCATCAATTAGGGTCCTTACTGACGATCTGTGAATCGCAGGCACCCAAGGTCTGATCTTTGTCGTCGACTCAAGCGACACGGCCCGTATGGAAGAAGCTCGCTCGGAGCTTCATAAGATCATCAACGATCGCGAAATGAAGGACGCTCTGTTGCTTGTGTTTGCGAACAAGCAGGATGTTCCCGGCCGTAGGTTTTCCACAGAACTGATTGAACCAGGATGGACGCTGATTCGATCTCGATCTCGCAGATTTGAGCCCGGAAGAGGTCACCAACGCATTGCAGCTTACCAAGTTGAAGGACAAGCTGTGGTATGTGGCGCCCAGTGTTGCTACGGAGGGTACTGGGATCTTTGAGGGACTTGTAAGTGGCCGCTTCCCAATGTCAAACTGCTCGATCCAGCAAATAGCTAATGTTTCTGCAGGCCTGGCTTTCAAACAACGTCAAGACTCAGCCTCAGAAGTAATTTCATGCCCCAACGTCCACCGGATCGTACCATAACCAGAGGTATCTTCACACGGCCTCGTGTACAACATGCACCCTCCGTCAATTTGGTTCTAAGATTTCTTCGTTTCATGTCCGTTTTGATGACAGACGACGCAGCATTCCGACTTCCGCTCTTATGTGCCGCATGGTTTTTTTTCCGTCTTCCATTTTCGCTCTTCTATTTCCTTTTCCTCCATGATATCCCCCTCTGTTTCTGTGCGGGTCATTCATACATACCCTTTTACTAATAATTCTCCTGTCATCCTTTGTAACTCTGACTGTTCAAGCGCCATTCTTGTCGAATACAGCTGTTTCTGTGACTTTCCCTCTAGAAAGAACCCAAATAGAAGGCAGATTGGACCAGCACATACAATGGAAACTTAGCATACCTTTTTTTTTGCAATTTATCCTTTTGGTCTAATGTCTCATCTACACGTGATGACGATCGTTGAAGCAACATCGGCTTTGGTATCGGACCTGTTAGCACTCAATCATTGATCATCCCACCTGGGAATCCCTTCCGCCGCCTGCTGGCACGTTCAGCATGACGGAAGATCGATCCACCAACAGGGCTCACCAAGGGACACGGAGTAGAGCTCCCAACCTGTCGGTAAGAATGCTTGGATCATTTCCGGTGATCCAATGCATCGTCAAAATTACGTCGATCCCGTAGGATGCAAGCAACGCCAACATCTCTTCCTCATAGAGTTTCTACGGATACCAGATATGTTGACTTGGACAACAGGATCAATTCTCTCGGGAGTGCACGCCAACTATCAGTAGGATCAGAAACATGTCAACCTGACGCAGAAAGGTGGCGCAACGGACCAAACGTCCACAGAAAACAAAATGGCCACACGACACATAAATAGCACGCTGGACTCGGGCTCCGCCGGCTCGAAGATTTTCTCTTGTTTTGGAGATTTGGATTATATCGATCTGTTTCAGTGATTATCGGTACAAGTCAAGTCAAGCACAAACAAGCATCTAAGGTACATCAACTCCACCGGTCACAATGCCCGATTACAGAAAAGGAGAAAAAGTCCGCTACAAGCCTGTTGGAGGTATGCCCATTCCTCAGTTCAACAGATCAAATGGAGGGAGATAGCTAAGCTCATTCGACCAGGCCCCGAGTCCAAAACCTCCGAGGCTGTCGGCATCATTCGCGAGGTCTCCACTAAGCCAACTCAAATGACGGGTCGCAATGTAGCTGCTTCGGAAGACGAGCCACGGTACACGGTGGGTTACTCCCTTTTTCAGTGATGGGTTGCTGCGAAGCTGACGCTGACTTGGGGTGATAGATTGAGAATGCGCGTACGCATAAGCAGTCGGCTATCAAAGAGTCGAATATCTTGGGGCCTGAAGAGTAGGATGGTCGATGGTGATGGTCGAGGACGGTTGGATAGACGAGGAAGAGCGGAGAAGGCAATGGTGTGTTTCTGGTCGATGAATGATCACTTGATTTTTCTGGCCTAGGCAGATATGGGGTAGAAATGGATGGATTGCCTGATACTTGCTTTATCGAATGCTTGAAACAAGCATGCAGTAAGCCGTAGTTTTGGTATGCCAGGTCCGAGCTTTGTCTAGGCAGTGTAGCTAAATGTAAATATACCGGCCGTGACATAAGTACGGGTTTCTATGCTGACAATATATCTACCCTTCTTGGCTGAGACTCTAAATGCAACATAACCAGAACTAATAGCTTGGCTGCATGGAGTTAGCATCTCATGCGGATATATTAAGCCCCAAGGTACTTTACTTATTGGCCACCTTGTCTCGGGGGGAGATAAATCATTTTTCAACGACACTACAATTAGGCTTCTGGAGAGAATGATGATGCTTTCATGTTAGTATAATATTTTATATACAAGAATCATACGTTAAGTGGTATTCTCGTTACTCATTACATCGTTTGGACCTTCATCCTTAACTATGCCTCTCTATCCGTCTCATTGTTGAAAATAGACCAATGAAGAGAAAGCATCTGCAGCATTCCCATCCCCCAAATATCGATTGATGGCCATGCTTCACAGCTCACCGGGCCAAATATCATTAGCAATTTCGCGGACAAGCTTCAGCTTGTTGATCATGCCATCCCAGTCAATCGCGTTACCCTCACGGTGACTGGCAAAACCACACTGGGGGCTGACGCCAACTTGCTTGAGGGCCTCTTCAACGCTGATGTTGTTGCCCTCGGCAATGAACTTGGCGGCGTCGTGGACGCGCTTCTTCATCTCCTCCTTGTCCTCGAGCTCGGGGAACTTGCTGGTCACAACGCCCAAGATGACGTTCTTGTGGCGAGGCAGCTCCTTCAGAGGCTCGAAGCCACCGGCACGGGGGGTGTCGTACTCGAGGTAGTAGGTGTCGACGTTGAGCTCCTTGAACAGCTTGGTAGCGATGCGGTCATAGCCACCCTCGGAGAAGTGACGGCTACCAACGAAGTTACCGCGACAGATGTGAACACCGACGTGGAAATCGGCAGGACGCTTGGACAGCAATTCGTTGTATTGCTTGATGTACTTTTCAAAGGTCTCGTCGGCAGTGGCCGTGTTCAGAGGATCAGCCTCCCAGCCCTCCAGCATCTTCTCCGAGCAGAAGTCTGGTGCCTGGGTTAGTATGTCTCCTGTCCAGTCAAAGCCATGCGATATCCAGGGTTCTTACAAGCAAGGTTAGGGTCGTCGAACTGGACGTTTCTGCAGCCAGCGTCGTACAGGATTTGCAATTCCTCCTGGTAGGCTTTGGCGATATCGCTCAGGTACTCGTCCTCGGTACTGTACACATCCTTGGGGAAAGCCTTGCCGTTCTTGTAACGGAGGTGGTACCAGTTGGGAGCAGCAAGGGTGAGCTTCACGTTCTTGACCTCCTCGGGGGCCACCAGGCTAGCCAAGCGCTTGAACTGGTCGACATATGTGCTGCCAACGTGCTTGATCTTGCCGGTACAGATGACAGTCTCACCAGGCTTGTGGCCCGCTTCCAGGAATGCAGCTACATCAGGAGCATAGGGGCGGAAGATATCCGCGTCAAAGTCGGTAACCTCCTCGAAGCCCTCGAGGCCCGGGAAGAAACTACCCCAGAACACTGCATGGGAAATCGGATCAGCTTAACCTCCATGTGAATATCCGCAAGCCAGGAAGCCTTACTGTGTCTGCAGTATTCTCCATCAGAAAGAGCGGGATAGCCCAGCTTCTTCTGGGTCTCGACAATATCCTTGATATCCCTCTCCTCGATAGCCTTGAGCTCGGCCGCAGAAGCCTGTCCCTTCTCGAACGCTGTCTTGACTTTCAGGAGCTCCTCGGTCCGGAGGAGAGAGCCAAGGTGCTCGGCACGGAAGGGCGGGTTACGGTGAAGCTGAGCCATGGCGAGTATACAGAATCTTACTGGGAGTTGCTGTCGCCACCAGAACTATGAGCTTAACAGAGACGAGAAGCAACAAACACGAGGATGTTTCGAGGAAAGGAAGAGTTCAAATTCTGTACTCTCGGTGAGGGGGCAAATTGACCCCATCCCCCAGCAAAGGGGGCTCTGCAAGGACGATCCATGTTTTCAATTTGCCGGTTCTTCAGTCATGCTCAGGCGTGCCGATGACATCCACCTCACGATTCTCAGCCCCACATATTGTGAGTCTCTCCACATCTTGAAGGTCAGAGCCCGATGTCGCTGAACAGCATGAGGTTCCATTATTGCAGCCAAAGGATCTGGTTCTATGGAAGTACTTGAGTGATGCGGAGGGGCGCATGGAAGCTCGTCGTCCGCCAGTTCTTCTTCTACATTGAGCGATCATAAAGCAAGGTATAGCTCATGTAATCTGGCCGAGATATTCCCATATTCTTGTCGTGTGGGATTTGGTAAATGTATATTCTCCTCTCTTCCTAGCTCCTAGTCCTACCATGTCAAGCATTGCGGAGACAGGCTCCACAGAGGCACAAAGGGGTTTTACCGATGGCTGAGGAGAAGCTGTACGTAGTAGTCTAGATAGGAGAGCCCGGATATATTGTACGCGACTACGAGATTCTACTAATAATTGGAAAGTGGGGAATTTCCACTGATGAAGTTCGACTTCGTGAGAACAGACTCAGAGATCGACCTTTTCCATCCAGTTATCATGGTGAGAGTGTACGGTAGCTGTACTTGTGGTATGTAAGTGGGGATCATTCGGCACTTGGTCCTTTTGTCTTCCCGAGAGACTGTCTGTCATCCCCACTCTCACCGCCTCCACGGTTCACTTGAATAGCTTCTCGACGACCAACTCGCTTTCGAGCTACATCTAGCTACGACCGGCCTGACAGCTCATTTCATCCAATCCGCATGAAGATATGACAGTTTCACGCAAGTCGCGGGATCCGTCGTCATGTGAAGCTCACTGAGGCCACTGAGCGCTAACGCTAACTCCATAGTATCTCAGCAACCCGGAGCATCAACCACTTCAATGTCCGCAGAGACTTCGCCATTCGAGTCGCTACCGAATGAGCTAATTGATCAAATACTGTCCAACCTTGCTACTGATCCTCCTTCCTTGTCCCGTTTCGACCAGCCCCCGTGCGTCCGTATAGTCAAATCTGCCACCCGTGACCTCAAAAATCTATCGCGGACCTCCACTCGCTTCCTAGAGGTCACGCGGCCGAGGTTGTTCGCACATGTCTGCTTTGATATCAGTGAGGGAGAAAGCTTTCTACAGTTCATCCAGAAATGGGATCTGTGTCGAAACGTGACGTCCATCCTGGCGCGGGGAAATACCGGTTCGGATCCTCAGGACGACCCTTCATGGTGGCGTAGGATTCTGCACCACCTCGATCCTCTGCGAATCACTCTTTTGGCACCGCCGTCGTTTATCGGAGCGACGCTAGGAACCAAGATTATGGATGGACATAACTGGGCTTTCCAGATCTCGCTGCAAGAACTGCAATTGGAGAGGACAGAACGGCAGATAGCACCACCTCCGGTCTCGCATGTCGAGGCATGCTCGGGTCTTCTAGCAGCTCGGGAGTGGTCATCGCTGCAGTTTAACGAGTCCTCGTCTTTGAAGGCGTATAACCATTATGAGTATTTTCTCTTCCAGGTCCCTTCTGTGTTTAATAAATGGGGCTCGTTGTCCCGATCCCATCCAGAGGGTGTCTCTTTATCTCTCTCGCTCAACAAGTTGACAGCATTCCATTACGCTGCGGTTTTTCCGTTCTACAACCATGTCAAACTAGTGCTGGATTCTGTGAAGTTGATGACAGGTCTGCGCTCGCTCAGTGTACGATTGGCACCGTGCTTGAATGACAAGGCCACAGAGTTGGAGCAGAGGGGATCTATGGATCCAAGCGATCCGTGGATGGAGCTTGCGACGGGCTATACTTTAGTTGCGCATGCAGTTCGGGACTTGGGAAACAGACGTCTTGTACATTTCTGCGCATGCGACTACGAGTCCGATGCCCTTCGGCCAGAACTTTCTATTATATTAGCAGATGTTCTGGGTGACAGTGAATGGGCCCATGACGGACATGGGAACTGGGTTAGAGGAGCAAAACGTGACCGGGTCAGTCTATAGGCGACTTTACGTATGCGTAGCGCTTTGCGTCTTATAGTGCATATTCCAATTCATTGATTTCGGAGCCTCAGGCATCGAGAACTCTGCCACTACCGTAACCCGTTATCCAAGCCAGAAGACGTTCAACAAATCGATGCTCACCTGAATAAAATGCCACACCCGTCCCTACTCGGGTCTTGAACCTGCGATGGGTCCGTCTAACCCAGGGCCATCGTTGTGCAATATTTTTTCGTGGTCCTATGTCTGATTTATTACTACCAACGCTTAACGACAGGGCACAGCACGCTCTATATTCATGTCAAAATGTCTTCATCGGGCAATGCCTACGCTGCTGAACCAGCCTTTCCAATTCTGGCTCATACACTACTGTCCAGTCATACCACGGCGTCTACTATACCAGAGCAGCAGCCCGATGAGCCAGATCAATCGTCCATCTGGAATCTAAGAAAGGACATTGACGAGGCATTCGAAGACCCATCCAGCGTTTTCCGCTGTGGCAGAGTAATCGGGTTTTCGAAACTGAAGAAGAGAGCTCAAGAAGACGATGACCATGATCTCATCGGCCAGGTAAGATGGTATCTCTTCTGACCGCAACCAACGGCAGATCATCTGGTGCATATCTGTATACACGACCCCAGAAGCTATTCAGGCGCATCATCCTGAGGCCTATACAAATCTCATCCTCTATATTTAAATACGTAGCTAACACACACAGCTCCCCCGCTACCTCCTCGCAAAGCATCTACGCAACACAACACCCTCCCCACAACCAAAAGCCTTCTTAATCCACCCACCAACCTTCGACCCATTCTCCCCAAAACAACTCCTGGCTTCTCTCCTCGCTTCACCTGCAACACCACCACCCCTCTCCCGCAACGAAGCAATAGCCCTGCTAGACCACGTCCAGCTCCTCCCCGTCTTCGACTTCCGCGCCGCAGTGCAAGCCATCAGCCAAGTCGCGGACGCCCTGCAATCGGCTGCAGTGTCTACTGGGGAGGGTAAGCGCGAGAGCCCACGCACTCTCCTCCTCATCGCAGGCCTCGACACGCTAACCGAGGATATCATCCGCGCCTCGAACCCCGTCAAGGGCGCGGCGACGCTGACCGCTGCGCTGCGGACGCTGACGCATATTTCAAGGGCGCATGGCTCGCATCTTGCTGTGATGCTGGTTAATACGCGGGGGCTTGGACCTGCGCGTGGCTTTCGCCCTAGCGCTGGGGGTGGAGTTGGGGCTGAGAGGCAGCAAATTTTGCGAGGGGACTTTCGGGAGGACGAGGGCGTTTACTCTATGTTCCATGCGGAGACATCGACACCGCTGCTGCCGAGTTTGTTGATGAGGACGTTGGACCAGGGTATTGATACGCATGTTCTGCTTTCGATGGTGAAGGAGGATTGCGTTGCGGAGGTCATCAAGGATCGGGTGGGAGAGGGGGTGGGGAAGTGGTGCATTTGGGACGAAAAGTCCATGAATGGTTGATGCTATTGAGTATCTCATGCACATGGTCAAAATCGGCTTGCCATATCGGCCTTATGTTAATTCCGCTCTATCATACAATATCTATCAAGTATAATTCATACACTTTTCCCGGCCTGAAATCATGATGTACCATCCATACGCCGACGATATGCAGGATTCTCATTGTGGGCCAGTTATGGCCTGACTTCCAGATAAACGGACCAACTCCATATCCGTCCCAGCTTCTTGCGCAAAAGGGGTATCAATCAACCACCAAGCGACTCGCTCGTAGCGGATATGCAAATTCTGTAACCTGTCTTCAACAGGGTGCGGCGAGAAACAACTCACTCGCCGCCATTCTGAGCATTCTCCTTTTCAGCCCACATTCGGAGAACGGCCCTTTCAACGACATTCTGGGCTTCTTTCTCGCATGTGGCAAGGTCCTGTTTCAGCGTGTTCTCCTCGAATAGAAGTTCGGACTGGTGAACCTTGACCCATTGCTTGTGTCTCTCGCAACGCTTCTTCGTACACACTCCGCGGGACAACTTGGCCAACTCGTCCTCCTTCTCGTCCTCCGTCTTGGTGCCATTCATAGCCGTGTCGCCATCCGCATCGACAGCGTCCGGATAGCTGGAAGCAAGTGCTTCAGGGGTGCCCTCCTCGAGTGCTTTGGCTCCGAGCTTCGACAGCCTCCAATCATCGAATTCCTCGTCCGACCACGCGAGACGTGTATCGAACCCACAGATATCCTTCCATCCGCCCTTTGGATCTGTTTGCTTCAGCTTCTCGACAATGCTCTTTGATCGCTGACGAATGAGTGTCATGAACGTGGAACGCGTGTTGAGCATATCGCGCCGGTGGAGAAGCTCATCTCTTTGTTTGCGCAACTGATCAAGCTTTGATGCCTCGTCGTGAGAATAGGTCAGGCCTTCGGGATCCACGTCCAAGCCAAGCTTCTTGTTCGACCTTGCTCCTGTCACAGGATCCTCCTCGTCTGGCGGCGGCGATATAATGCGCTCCCCAAGTTTACGGAACTCCTCCGCAGAGGAAACGGCCATGACGACTGCGTGAAGATCACCCGTTGTAAGAACACCACCTCTGCTGCCAAGCTCCTCCCATTCCGCCTTTGCGGGATCCTCAGGGGCTTTGTGGAGTTGCTGGATCCGTCGACGCATGAATTCCCGTCCGTGCTCATCAGAGCAATACTTACTTGGGTTCTTGCCTGCCACACGAGCGGGTTTCCGACAACCCTTTAGTCGACACATCGGTTTCCACGTCGTCCATCCTTTGCCCTCCGCCTTGCAATTCGGGCCTGATGAATGTGTATTAGCTCACTTCAGAGTACAAAGCTGCCTAAGCCGAGACTCACATATGTATTTGTCTATCAAGTCCGCATCTTTGGGATCGATGTTGATGCATTTTCCATGGAACCAATCATCGCATTCCCCGTCACATGCAATCATCCATGTATGATCATCACCCTTGCGACAGACGCAGAAAACCCCGTCATCCTCCGACGAATCTTCTTCTTGTCCTTCCTCCTCTTCCTGTTTCTCTACTTTCGCCTTCTTCGCATTCTTCTTCCTTTTCCTGCCATCGGGGGCCGGAGAGCCCGCGACAGATACGGATCCCTGCTTCTTGACTCCGGGCGTCTTGCTGGCACGAGTCGAAGAAGGGGTGTTGGAGCGACCGCTTCCCACGTCTTCGCTCGCAAGTTCGTCTATTTTGCGTTTCTTCGTCGTCTGTTTCTTGGCTGTCCCTTTCTTCGATGCACCGGGGCCCGATTTTCTTCTCCCGGCTGCCTTGATGGAACCAGATGGCGATGATCGATCTGTCGATGATGCTCTTGAGGCCAACTCGCTCTTCAGATCAGAGACTTTCCTCGGCGTCGGATGTTCTTCGGGCAAAAGGGTGCCGTCAAGTTGCGCCAGAGCGGGCAAAATCTCGGTTTCGTTGCTTGGGGGATATTTGTCCAACGACGGCTGCAGAGGCTCACTTTTCACCTCAGGTGCAGCTGTAGTAGGATGATCTGGGAGCCCGTTTGTCCCACCAACGTCTGGGATATCGTCATAGAGGTCGGCCCAGGCCTGAGTTACGTTGACCCCGCCATTCTCAATGACGGGACGCTCAGGTATCCGAAACTGACGATGTATCTGCTTTGCTCTCTCGAAACCAAAGAACCCACATTGTCGCCAGCCGAGAATGCCAACAATCCGGCCATCCTTGACCATGATATTGGACCGGATCATATCGTTGTGAACTAGATAGAGCTGCTCCGTCCCCTTTTTATCTTGAAACAATATGTCCCTTTCTGAGTCCTCGATACCCGGAGGTGATTGAGCGTTGAGTTCGCCGCAGACATACGACGCAGAGTCCGGCGCAGGCTCGACAATTGCAAGGCGCTGAATAATCCGACGGCATTGCTGTTTAAAAGCGCCAATTTGTTCAATCGTGAGATACTTCCAGGCGACCTCCAAAGACACTCCGGGAATTCTAGACTCCACAGTGACGTTCTTTCCGTCAACTGTGCCATAAAAGTATATGATTGGCGTAGCAACACCGAGTTCTTGAAGAGCATCCTCCGCCCTTTTAGCAGCACTCAACTCGTTCGTATTAACACTTGAGTATCGTTCCGCAGCCGCACCAGCCGCAGGTTCCTGGTCAACTTTGATTAGAACGCTGCCAGCAGCGTATACCTCCCTTGTCCCTGGCACATTGAGGGAATTTTCTGGAGTGCAGGATGTGCGCACTACCTCCTCCCAGTACGAACTAGCTTCCGGTTCCGCCTGGTACCAACCATCGTAGCGGGGTTTGAAGTCATCGACATGCGGGGCATAGCGACCGTATTGCGGGCTTCGGGAAAGAAATGAATCTGTCGGCGGAATCAATTCTGGATTTGTCTCGTAAGGATTTGTGGTGGATCGGTCGAGACCTATTGAGCCGTTGACTTGGCTAGGCTCCGTAGGCGCGATCGCGTCTCCAGCCATTGCAATGAGAGACCTCCGCGAAGGGCTGAAAAGAAAAGATGCCGTGCTATATGAGGGCAACTGTATTCGAAATGGGTCTCGATCATGTATACAAGCCGATGCGACGAATCTCCACGGCGAATTTGGCCCAAAGAGAAAGTTTGCAGGTGAATGCTAGGTGGTGAACATCGATCTCGCCGGTGAAGGTGATAGCATTCTGGTAAGGCACTTCTGTCGGTACACAATTAGAAGGACAGCAACCGAGGAGCGCTACAGTTGCGGCCTCTGTCGTCAAAGGGATGGCGCGAGTAGAGCCTTTCTGAACGGTCGTTTTGCTGAACAAGGATAGCGACCAGCTCCGGAATGAATGCGGACCGGTTGAATCCACCACACTGCAACGAGTGCAAATCTCACTGTGATGTGACAAAATGGTAATTCAAAGTAGTGCAAAAACCATGATTCATTCACTTGCATTAGCAGGATCTCTCAGACTCCTAGGGGTGGTAAGATCGCATGGCATCAACTGCGCGACCGGCGACGCGGAGAGCAGGAACGCATTCAAGGATTTGGCAGTTGGCAGCCGGACTTTACTGAAGGCGGTGAGCTTAACTCCGCCATTGCTCTAGTGTCATGTGACACCCTTCCATTTCAGTACGGTCACGTGGGCTTACGTCTTAAGGCTGCTGTTATGATGCCTATAGCCTACCATCTCTTTTTGCTTGTTCTACAATTGGAGGATTCAACAATCTGAGAAGGGATTATTATGGCTGATCCTTGTGGCTTACCCAAGGTCAGCTGTGAGCCTGTGACAGTGCAGGCTGACGTGACTACATATATAGATGACAGCGCAGTTGTATCTATCCTTGTGATGTCCAACGTGCACAGGGAGAGTACTATAGCAGTCTATGATGCGCATTACAAACCTTCAGGATCCTGAACCGGAAACTTTGTCCATAAGATAAGATATGGAGCGACCGAGCAGTCAGTGACTACCACCCGATGTCCGGATCAATTGTGTCCAGACGGTGTCTCTAGGTAAGTACCTATAGCAATATGGCTGCACTCAGTAAAGCCGTCATATGTAGTCGCAGTCGACGATTCCTGCTTGTCGTAGCAAGGTAAGGAATCGGGAGCATTGCCCATCGTCGAGAGTTTATTGAGACCATGATCCCTACCTAATTACTCCACCTCCCTGGCTGGCCCTGTAGGCCTGTATGATGTATCGTGCAGAACGCCAGGATCATGAGACGCGCCAATCTCTTCATGCTTGCTTTGTCTTGGCGGGGATGGTAACACGGACGAAGAGTACTCTAGGTAGTATAGACTAGCACATGATGTGCCTTTGGACTGGCCAGTTGAACTGCCACACAATTTGAGATCAATTCGAAGTCCTTCATCAAACGTGAGAATTAGGGTCCTCATCCTGCCAGGGTCTCGATTCTCGATTCTCGAACCATTCTCTTTTAAAGTTAAAACGACGATAAGGGACTTTGGGGGAGATGCTAAGCCACCGCCAGCTCGGCAACAGCACAACAACTTGCACGCTATCTATCAAGCTAGTCGAATTCCGTGCGGCTGAGGATTTCCGACTGACGAGTAAGACGGAATAGAGCGATCAGGTGGAGACCGTCAGAAAGGCAGTCGACGCCTGAAGATTCAGCTCGTCGGATTCAGCTCGTTTCTAGTCTACCCTTTTTTTTCGAGTCTCGAACCTCCAAGTCTCAGTCTGATGGTCCATCCCCGCCTTAAATCCCCTCATATACCGGGACTTGGGTGATGCTCAGAATTGAGGACTGGACTGGACCGGCCGATCCATAACTACAGTACCATTGTTCGCCAGTCCCGCGATCCATTTGATTCGAGATTCCAATCTGACTACTTTATACTGTGGGGAATAGTCCCAAGATTGAGACGTTGGCTTGAAGCCGAACCAAACCACAGCAAAGTCAATACTCTCCGTCACTGCCTTTCTGCGCAGATTGTCCATCTGTCGCTTTTCTGTTGCAAAGTACATGAAATTCACTTCGAGTTTCCATGTTTATGAAATCTCCAGTGTTCTTCATATTGGCCAGTGCATTGCTCAGCTAGCTCCTCGCCTTCCGGAGTTTGGAGCCATTCTTCACCATTAGCCAGCCCCCCCCCCCGCCTTATGATCAACAAACAACCTCAATGATCAGCAATCATAAAGACTCTCGACCATTAAACCCCAGTTAATTGTGGCGTAACCGAAGGATACGGTATCTGCACTGTGTCATCTCATCTCATCTCAGCTACGCTCGTTTTCAGCACTCAACCCCGCATATACTTGGATCGGCTGGGTAGTACTTTCGCTTTCTGCTGGCAAGACTCCATAATCGAAGGAGCGCAGGAGTGTTCAATTGATGATGCGCCGTCGTCATTTGATTATCATTGAATCAGGACCATCCAATTCAACCTTCGATCCCTCGAGTTGCAACCCCGTTACCAAGTCGAAATCAATTTCCAAGGATAGATTATGTCCGATGTTTCGGAGGAGACAGCTGCAAATGAGCCACCGGCACAATCCTCGCAGATGCGGTGGGAGTTCATCGATGCTTCGAACAACAGCCGAAGCAATCTCACCCGAGTCAAGCGCCATGTGATGCATGAATATATGCGGCAGAAACGCGGTGGCGTGCCGCAACCAGACAATGAGAATGGCGAATCTGTGAAGGAAACAGAGGAATCACAGCCAAAGGTTCGCAGGCGATCGAGGAACAAGAATGCGGGAAAGAGTAGTACCACCGAGAAGGAGAAGAAGGACCGTGGCAAGGGCCGGAGGAGAAAGTGCCCGGACGCTTCGACAGATACACAAATGGAGGCTGAATCCATGCGCGAGGATTCATTAGGGGAGGGTTCATCGACAGGGATTGGAGAGAGTCACGTCTCAGCAACTGCCGGCCAGACGGACGTAAATACTCTCGTCTCTGTTTCACCACAGGACGCTATTGAGCTTCACCTCTTTATTTCACCCTCCGACTTGCCCAAATCCTATACGTCGTCTGGTGACCGGAGCAGCAACTCCGAGTCCGACGGCCGGACACCGTTGTCTTCTGCCCCGACAACTCCCTCCGCGCTAACCCTATCCCCCAAATCTATTCTCAGCGCAGCGCGTACTGACCCGTTCAACACTTTGCCAATGGGTTTGGATGCGGAGGGTCGCAAACTCTTTGACTTCTACGTCAACGAGATGCCGGCTTGCTCTTACGGCAACCACTTCCGGTCCCCTAAGGCTCATAATTGGTACACGGCCGTATTTGTCCCCGAGGGTATGAAAGGCCCTGTCGCCTTCCAGAACACGATCCTCGTCCACGCGGCCAACACGTGGGCCTGGATCCGGAACGAGGAGGAAACGAAGATGGCTCTGGTCCATCGTAACCGGGCCATCTCCATGCTCCGAGAGCATCTGGCTGCAAACCCCGGAGACATTAGCGACGTGGCCATCATTGCATGCCTCAGTGCAGCCGGTCTGGAGGACTTTGACCCCCGGCCCGGACGCAAGCAGATCAGCTGGATTCACATGCGAGCTGCTCGGGAGATGATTCGAGCGCGCGGTGGGCCTGCGGCGTTCGAGAATACGCGGCTGGGGATGTTGATCAACTGGCAGGACTATATTCTGTCGGGCTATGAAACTCATGGGCCGAGCTTTTTCTTTGAGCCCAATCCACCTATTTCTTCACAGCGTGATATGGCCACTGTGACTTCGTCGGCGGAGCCTTCTCTGCCAACTTCCTTATGCCTTGCCACCGATTTTGAGGGCGTACCTTCTACGGCCCCTTCCTTCTTCCCCAGAGATGAACTCCAACACCAATGCAACGAATTCATCGAGTTCCTCCAACGCTGCGAGCAACTCGCCCTCCACCAGCAAACGCACACCAACGCCGCCATCGCACCCATTCGCCACACTGCCTTCCAACCTACCTCCCTTCTATACCAGATCCTCGCCGCTCCGCCAGGCGTCCGATTCACCGCCTCAGGCAACCGCAAACAATTCGTCGCCCGCCTCGTCGCGCTGATCATGCTCAACGCCGGTCTCTGGGACTATCGCTCGTCCATCGTCCACAGCGAGACCTTTCTACACACGCTGGAGCAGGCCGTGCTCGAAAGCGAGGTCAACACGAGCGGCTCTGTCGAGGCGCTGCTGCAGATCATGCTAGAGTGCAACGACGGAACGGCCACTCTCAGCACCAGTCCGGTCTTCCCCTCTGTCTTCGTGCTGGATGAGCTCGAGCTCGCCTCGCCTGATTTCAGACAGTACTCACCCACTGCCCGAACGCCGTACGGCCGACCTTGGTTCGCTGGCCGGATGCTCAAGGTCGCGAAGCGCTTGGGCTACGAGACGTGGATGCGCGTCAGCGAGTTTCTGCTGGGGTGCTTGACGCTCCAGGTGTGGCAGGGTTCGGTTGCGGGGTGGGAGGGGGCGCTTCGGCAGGAGATCCTCAGTGCGCCGCTTACGAGCTATGTTATGCCTGCGTTGAGGTGATCATCATCATCATCATCTACGTCCTGGACCTCTCTCTATATATAATTCTCATTCATGGTTTGTACAAACAGGGTACCGCATGTGACTACGGCGTCGTTTGGTGATTTCTAAATATATATACTCTATTCGCGATAACAATTTCATCTTCAACCGCTCCAGTACTTACATCCGGATTGTAAACTCTTTTTCCTGTGTAATCTGCAACGTAACATCCGTCTTGACATCCGCCTGGGACTCCAGTCCAAACGACTGGGCCCTGCGACGCTGCCGAGCCCGGGCACCGGTAGTAAACACCTCGCCGACCTCCTCGAGGGACTTGCCCGCGGTCTCCGGGTAGCACGCCCAGACAATCACCGCCGCGGCCCAGTTGAACGCAACAAAGCAGTAAAAGTACTTGTATTGCAGCGTGGTCAGCGCAATGGGCGAGCACTGCGCGAAGACGAGGTTGAGGCTCCAGTTCGTGGCGGTCGCGATGGACGAGCCGCGGGCGCGGATCGCGGTGGGGAAGATCTCGGCGGGG